AACCCCTACCATGCTGGGAATCTGTGATTCTGTGACTTCATCCCGAGCTGGAAGCTTCTCCTCCTCCTCCTCCTCCCTGTTTCCCGCCCGTTTCGCTGTTGGTGTTAATGGCGGGGCGGCTCTTACGGCCGAGGGAAGGAACCGGGCGCCGTCCGCCTGCGCTGCGCACGGCCCTCCTTATTTACTCTTAGCGACTCCGCAGTATTTTAACCCCAGTCCCCAAGAAATTTTAGTCGTCCCACGGAGAATCGCTGCTTGCCACCGTTTGCTAATGACGAGTATGAAAGTCAATTAATTCATTTAGCTAATTATCCGCTCTCCGAGCATCACGCACCGAAGAGCTGTAAAAGACGGGCATATGGCGGTGGGTCGGGAGGGAGGAGCCGGCGTGTGCCGGGGCGAAGCGTGCCGGGGAGGGGGCACGGCCACAATTACAGCTTTGTGCTAATTGGGCCTGGAAACCATCAACCCTCTCCCGGCGCCTTTCGTTGGGAGGCTCGAGCGCGGGGTCAAGCGTCCGGAGTATTTCTGGCTGTGCCGCTCCCCCCGGCTCGGGGAGGGGGACGAATCGCTTTGCCCGCGAGGAGCGAACCTCCCGCCTTTTTTTGTGTCGCAGCCTGGCTCACAGGGCGCCTGGGCTGCTGCGAGCGGGGAGAAAAACCATCCCGCCGAAAAATAACCATAATCTCTGCCCTCCGAAAGGGAAAGTGTAAAGGAAATGGTGGTTTTTTTGGAGTTAATGGCATTTCTGGGTGTGCAAAGTTACCTGTGAGGCTTGGAGGAGGTTGTGGGGTGGGGGAAGTGGAGCGGGCGCTCCCTCCCCACTCTGAGGAAGCCGATGGAGCATTGGAGAACGCTCCCCCCCTGTGTGAGGAAGCCGATGGAGCATTGGAGAACGCTCCGTGGGGTGAAGGTCCTCAGTCAGAGGCCAGGTCCCTTCTTCCGGAGGGAATCCCCATCACTGTGCTGGGACAGGTCACCCGCCGCATCAGCCACCGACGCTCGGCTCCCACCACAAGTGTTTGCCCCATTCCAGCGCTTCATTATGCTGATTTACTAAAAAAATAAGTGAGGCTTTCTCTCCTGTTGAATTTATTGAATTATTTCACCGGCGGAATTTCCAGCAGCAGCGCTTGTGGTGCCCGTGCCTGCGAGGAGCTTTGATCAAGCTCTGGTACGCTGATTACCGAGACTCGCTCATGAAAGTGCGTAAATAAAAGACAAACGGAACAACACCAACCCAGTAGGCTGGAGGCTTAGCGCGGTGACAAGGCGATCTGCATTCTGTTTCCTTGTTATTAATAAAAATAAAAAAAAAAGGTTTTTATCACAAGCACTGTTCAAAGGCAGCAGGGCCAGGGAGCAGCTGTGCCGATCGGAGCCGCTCCGGAAAACTTTGC